AATCATTGTGATATATGACGAAAGGCAGCACGGTCGTGTGGCTTTGATGATTGACATGATTTCTTACTCTAAAAGATAGGTGAAATCACTGTGGTTATTACCTCTAATGATACTATGATAGGGGATTGAAAACAAACAAGAAATCTACTTAGGAGTAAAATGAGAAATCGCTGTCGCTGAACTCATTAATAGCCTGTATAAAAAGCTGAACCATTTGTGTTTAATTTAACACGTACATGTAAAACAGTCCGTTTTAATGTTGAATAAAAGTTTCAAGACACAACGCCCGTATTTACAAACGACACCTGAAGTTACGCTGAAAATGGTTACTCCAGTTTCTTTCAGGGTCGTTTACAAAACGTTTGTCCAGTGACTCCTACTTCGTATGAATTATTGAGGTTTAAGTTTAAGAAAACAGAGGACAGGAGATCAGAATATTTTTTTTGTAATATCGCACCTATTACCTTAATATTGCCGTCGTATTGCGCACCTGCAGCTTACTTACTCATAGGTAATAAGTAGGTACCAGTTTGTATTCTGTATTTCTGTAATTGTACATCATACATCATATAACAGCTAGTCATATAAACCTCTAATACTTCATTGTGGCTCATTGTGGTTGCAACAGGTAATTTGTAAAACAAATATAAAAATATTGAATGAATCGCATGCGGAAATTAATTCATGTTTCTGCTAGTTGTTAACGTCAAGAGTGGAATTGGATTGGAAAAGTACATTTTAAATAAATCAAAGACTTTATGGTGTAACTAGTTATCTAAAGTATTACGTGTTGTTTTTGTTATCAGTTTAGGAGTTTTGTTGATTACTTTATTTAGTTATTAAATAGACTGAATCAAATCCTTGACATAGCTCAGGGTGAGCCAAAGAAAAACGTCTTGATTCGTGGATTGCACTCCTCGACTCCTCGGTCTTAATTTACTTATTGCTTTTGTTTCATGAAAAGGTTCTATGCCTTATTGTTGAAGTCTATTTGTGGCTTGTGTTTGAATAGAATATCATGTAACGAAAACAATATAACACATTAGTTTTAAAATTAAAAGTAAAAAAAAACAATTACCTAGGTAGGTACTAAGAATTACTTTTAATGTTGGCCTAGCGTAGTTAGGATGCGCGCCGCGATAAATAAGCTTTCATCGTGTCCTTTTATCCATTTTATGCGATAAAAATTATCGACAAAATTGACGTCTAAAATCCTCGATAAGATTTTAACACGGTGCACATTTTAGCCCTGCAGGTTTTCAGTGGAAACCATTGTTAGGGGGCGCTACACGCAGTAACAAAATATTGCATCCCAATAACCCAAGGTCAGTTTTCTTAACAAGGGCATTATAAATATAACGTAGAATGAATTATTTGAATAATAAATAACATATTTATACCTAATCTTATTACTTACCTTAGTCAGACGATTACCTCACTTCGGGATAAACAGCTCATGACCCGCTGACATTGTCTTTTTTGCGACAACAGTTTTTGCCAGACCTTGGCATTGTTAACGGATTACAGGTGTTTCTTAGATTTAACTAAGTAGGTACTTAACATAATTAAGTGTAGAACAAAAACGATTAAGTAGTTACACTTTTTTTGCAATTTTGAAGTGGTGTCATTGCAGTTTGTAAAATTATTTTTGTTAATTATCTTGGTAGGTATAATTCCACCATAACAAGTTATAAACATGTTTGGAATTAAATGTAAGAAATGTGTTTTTGTGCGTTTCTTTCTTGAAGTAACAATTTGTTGTTTATGTGCACTCCTCTCTATACGTAGCGAGTTTAGCTGTGCTCTAAGCAGTTGGTTAAAATTGGACTTAACGATGTCGCTGATATTATGCAGTGATCTTTTACTTTGGAAATTCGCATGAGCTTTTTTCAACTTAAAGATCTTACCTCTACATCATTGCGGAGAAGTTTGCTGCCAGAATTAATGGCACGAACTTAAGTTTTTTTATGACAGCCGCAAGGTAGTGCTATGTAATCTATTACAAGGTGCAGGAAGTGCAATTAGTGACAGAAGCCGGCGACCTCGACCCGGGCAGGCTCTGTGCATGATACAGATGTTGTTCAGAGGGTCATTAGTTTCATTCTTAAATGTCAAAATGGCGGTTAAGATTTTATTATTTTATAGCCACTTCGCTGAAACGATTTGGGAAACGAGATAGTTACTTCTGCATTCAATCAAACATTGTGACGTTTTTAAATCCAAAGACAAGGGAGATCTGGGAACAAATAGTAATATACCAAAAAAGTTGTCTCTACATATTGAATCGAAACTATACCTACATATAAGTTGGTTGGATCAATGATTGGAATCCGTTCTCTTAGATCTTCATAAAGTGTTAATTCTACTTCTTTGAAAAGTTAGTCTAATGCAGATTACCTGCCTATGTTTAGGTATCACTCTAACTGGTGACTAATCTACAGATCTTTCTATTTGTAGTCTAAGAGCTAGATTACTATCTGCTACCATTCATGAGCTTTATGAAGTTCATCTTTTTCCTCAGTTTTCGATTACATTTTTTTTTTTTTACAATAATTCATTAAGTTCCTTTTTGACCTATTACCATTTACATTGAAGAGGTAATAAAAAAGTTTTTATCGCTGTCGCATGCCAGGCTAAAATGCCAATTGTTAGAAAACTGGTTCAAATCAAATCAAAATTATCTTTATTTATTTAGACTAATTAAATTATGTACTACTTTCAAATCGTCAAATGCTCTTAAGTACATACTCGTACATACATGTCTCATTCTTTTTTTCCCTACCAGCGCTTCGAGACAAACATTTGGCAAGTGCTGAGAAGAAGCGCCGCAACAAACTCAGTCACCACTGTCTGCCGGTTTAAAAATATAAATATAATCTCAGACAACATCTAGTCAGCTCTCGGTCTACCTCGAGTCTGTCAGACACAACGACGCCTAGATTGATCGCCGCCATTACTCGCGGATCCGCATATCCTCGCCATTGAGGTGTCGACCCAGTTTCTTATTGCGACTTTGACAACCTTTGTGCTGCACAAATTTATTTCGCATACGATATTCAGTGCTAGTGCTACTTATGTAAGGTAGTCATTGCAAAATAATAGAAATGACTAAACGTTTTCTTATGCATAAGCACATCATGTTGTATTTATTGAGAAACTTTAGTCTAAGATAAGATTTTAGTGTCGGTAATGCAATGGAGACTGCAACAGAGTAAATATGGGATTCTGTTGCCAATTACATACTGAATATCGGCTGATTAGATCTCTAAGTAAACTAAAACCTCCGCTTGCTCCCTTAAAACTATCAATGTAGAGACAATGGAGGATAACTTTTCGACTTTTATATCCTTCCGTGATGAGGAGAACTGTAGGTATAGTAGAGTCACCCTTTAACTTCTATGGTTTTTTGTAACTCCTTTATATCCGGTATCTACCTAGTCTATTGTGTGTCTATTTTAAGTGACGATTAAGCTTGTGTATACATAATTCGTTCGTTTCAGCCGAGAGACGTCCACTGCTGGACAAAGGCCTCCCCCAAGGATTTCCTCTCCATGGGGGGGATTTGCCTTAATCGCCACGCTTGGCAGGCGGGTTGGCGATCGCAGTTTTTTATAAGGTTTCGCACGCAGACGCTGCTGCCCGTCCGGTGCTGCAGGGATTTTGTCGCCTCTTACGACACGCCTCCTGTTGGCGGTGGGGAAGAGTATTCTTTATGGCCGTCCCCACACGGCACATACCCCAANTTGTATAGTCTGTGGAAAGAAAATATTAAACTCTGTTTTAGCTATCAAAGGTTTATAAACGATTATGAATAACGTTTTTTATCAGAGGTTTATAAGAGTGTTTTAAGCCTATCAAACGTTTTAGCTAATGTAGGTTTTAAACCTATATTAGCATTTTATTATGAATAAGACCGTAAGGGACGAAACACACTTGCAGTCGATGTGATTATTATGAAACTTTTTGTGATTTTTACCAACACAATACCCTGCAAATTTAACTGTTCAAGCAGAGATAATTACAAAAAGCAGTAAAATAATGTTGTTTACGTGAATATTAAAATGAAAAGCTAATTTCCTCTGGGATAACCTCCGCTTTAATGATCAAGTAGTAAGTAGATCAATAATATACGGTCTTATTCATAATAAAATGCTNCAAAACAAAAAAAAAAAAAAAAAAAAATTAAAAAAAAAACAAGAGGAGAAATCAACTCAAAAAACGCAAGAACAGGAATTGATAAATAATGAAGAAATCCAATATGAATTGGTGGTACTTGATGAAGAAATAGAAGATACACATGCTTGTACTACTAGAGGCATATTGGAAGATAAAAAAAAAAAAAAAAAAAAAAAAAAAAAAAAAAAAAAAAAAAAAAAAAAAAAAAAAAAAAAAAAAAAAAAAAAAAAAAAAAAAAAAAAAAAAAAAAAAAAAAAAAAAAAAAAAAAAAAAAAAAAAAAAAAAAAAAAAAAAAAAAAAAAAAAAAAGGAAACTGTTAAACAAAGAAGGCTTAATTGATTTAAGCAAAGTTAGGATTTCCGAAATTGCAGAAACAGAATCAAAATGCCGGATTGAACTGCATGAAGTTCAAATGGAAAACGAACGGAAGAAAGGGAGAAACTTGGATCTTGAGCATCAATTATTACAGGAAAAACTTAAATATTACACTCACATTAATAAAGAATAATAAGTCTTTTGATGTTAAAGTTTTTCAAGTACTAACAGATTCTAAATAATAAGTTAGTTCCTCCCTTACTTCTGTTTGTTTTTAATTTGTATTTTATGCAGTTCCAATCCGCATTTTGATTGTGTTTCTGCAATATATTTAGACGGCTATGAATATGTTTACTAGTCATAACTTAATAAGAGTTTGAGATTACTATTAACTAGCTGTTGCCCACGACTCCGCCTGCGTAGACTACTATTTCTGTAACCTACAGGATCTGTGCATTTTTCCAGGATAAAAAGAAGCCTATATGTTATTCGAGACTATATAATCTATCTGTTTTAGCAATTTATTTGTTTATAAGAATTGAACTGTGATTTTTAGTAAGTAAGTTTAATAATTGTACTTAAATTAGTGATATAAAGTAAATACACATATGCCTAGTCACAAACATTCGCCTTTATAATAATAGTGTAAATTATGGTTATTTTGTTTTAAATGTAGAAGGTTGATAACCTCCGAATAGAAACGTTTATACTTAAGCAATTTCTTTGTTTTAAAGAATTGAACTGTGATTTTTAATAAGTAAGTTTGTTGAAACTAATTGTACTTAAATTAGTGATATAAAGTAATTTGTTTTGAATTTTTGCAGAATAATTGCTTTTTTAAAGAGAACTACAGGTTTTGTTTTTGTGATAGTAACAAATTGGACTGAAAATTGAAATACAGGTATTTTTCAATCAAATATTCTTTTTATTTTCATTAAGATGCCAGGAACAGTATCTGAAAAATTAAAATACAACATTTTCATGAACTCAAATGACATTACATAAAAGTAAATCGTTGGAATTTATCAAAATGTATTTTAGTACCATTCAAAAATGTTGATTTATAAAATTTTGTAGTATCAACTGCGACCTACGCCTCAACAATGAAGGTCGGTTGTCGTGAACACTGTTCTCCGTCGAAAGTTGCGGAGTTACAGGGACCTGCTCCATATGTTGTTCTGAAAAATATTATGAATTTGTCAACATTTTGTCATAAAGATTTGTATTCCTTATGTACAGTCAAATTGATAACATTTACCTAACAATGTGTCATTCATATCAATGGCTATATTATGTAATACAGCCAATGCTATGATCACAGCTTTTCCATTTTGGAGGCTTACTGGTAAGCCATGGAGTAGGCATTGGAACCGCTGCTTCCACACCCCAAAACACCTTTCAACAGTGTTCCTAGTTGAGATGTGAGCATTATTGTATGCTTCTTCTTCTGGACGACTAGGCCTTAAAATAGGTGTAAATAGATATGGCAGAAGAGGGTAGCCCGAATCGCCAATAAGGCGTCCTCTAAACTGCCTATCCTCAAATCGTTGTTTTATATTGCTCTCCATAAAAATTCGACTGTCATGTGTACTGCCTCGCCATCTAGCCACTATATCCATTATTTTGAGGTCAGCATCACAGACAACCTAAAATAAAAAAAACAGTATCCTGTAGGTAATCCATCCAATAATATAGTGTTGAATGTTGCTAAAATTTAGATCATACAAAGTAAAAATTATAGACATTATTAAAACAAATCTTTCTCTGTTGTAAACTGTATAAAATCAAAATATATTTTACCTGAACATTCAGGGAATAATAGCCTTTTCTATTAATATAGTACTGGGCCATGTCACCTCCGGTTTTTTTAATTTTAATGTGGGTGCAATCTATGGCTCCTATCACCCCAGGAAAATTTTTAATTGCTCTAAATTTGGCACTAATTCTTTCCTGCTCTCCTATAGTGATAGGCATTTTGATGAAGGAATTTGCCTTATTCGCGATTGCATGCGCGACTCTGGCGCATATCCGGCTCACTGTCGGCTGACTTAGGCCATGGAGGTCACCAGCATCATCTTGTACCTGAAAATGTATGAAAATAATTATAGCAGCCACGACAAAGGGATAAAATAAAACACTTTTTTGTGCTTACCTCACGACGTCCCCAACATCTTATGGCCACTAAAACTTGCAGTTCAGGACACGTGCCACCACCTCTAGCGCTCTGAACCAGATCATCTTCCACCAAATCTATGATGGTGCGCACTGTGTCCTTATTGAACCTATATTTTATTTTAAAATTTAGGTCCCGCAAATCGAATGGGTTGCTTCGTTGGCGGTAGAGCTTTCTACGTCGCGCTGGGTCGGCATTATTGGCTAAATGCACAATTGCATTTATAGCATTCATTTTCACAAGCAAGGATCACAGCAAGGATATTTTGAATAAATAAACCAACGAAGTGACATTCATATGAAATGACATTTATAAAAGTTAGGTTAAAATAGGTTTATTAGAGCTTTAAACAAGGCCCGAGCTCTCGATAACTTATCACACAGTTATAAGAGGATTTTAGCGCTAAATGACGATTATGAATAACAATTTTTATCAAACGTTTTATAAACCTCTAATAAGCATTTGATAAAATGTGAAAAATGATTATGAATAAGACCGATAGAGTCTATACCTACAATAGTTGCCATGGTGGAACCAAGTTATAATCTTTTTCCATCTATCTCATCTAAAAACTCTACGCGTAGTCGTATGTTTTCGCCTTGTTTCTGATTGACGCCAACAGTTTCTCAAACTAGGCCATTGAGATTAACCAACTTGCCCCAAAAACAATGTTATCAAGTTTAGCCTTGCGGAGTTTTGATGTTTATTGGCACCTATTGATTTTCCAATCGTCTGATAGTCACGACTGTTTTGTGTTCAAAGGTGACCATAAAATTGTGAGAGGGTCATGTTTTGTTATCTATATTGTAAAGGTGATTGTTTAAGTTGTGATAATTTAAGACCCACACAAAACGTTTCCATGAATTACTCGTAGATACATAGATAAACTTGATGTAAAATCAAAAACGGATAGGTAAAAAATTCGTTTAAAAGTATTTGTAGCTTTTTTTTCTAGCTTTAAACTAGGTTACAGCTTAGCTACTGGTTTAGTTTAGGTTCTAAACTTTAGGACATAGGAAATGAACTTAAATATGGATTACTTTATTAAACTTAAAAAGAGCACTAACATAATCATCAACAGGTATAATTGATTTCAGTAAGTTTGTCTCTTATTCACACATTTACTAAAATTAAAGTAAATCGCACAAATCTAATCCGCCCGCCCTGGAAAATAAAGCTAACAACGAAGTCCGGCGGGACACGCTATCCCAAATACGAATTAACCTATTCCAGTGGCGTGATTATTCAGCCATTTCAAACCACATGAATTACTATTAGAGGCTGAAAAGGCCTTCAAATTGCGTTGATCAGTTAAATTGAATTATGCGTACATGGCTGAGCTTCAATGCTCATTATAGAGCTCGGCTCTTAATGGAAAATCTAATAATTGTATTATGCCAATGATACGCTTCTATGATTATTTCTGAGTGTCTAATAGCAACTTAATAACATAATTATGATGTACTTAAATTAATAAGAGTTTCTCGTCAGGTATACGTCGTAGTTACAACTGGTCGAGTTAGGGGCCATCCGTAAAGTACGTCACACGAATTTCATGATTTTTTGACCCCCCCTCCGTCCTTGTCACAGGTGGTCACATTTCTGAGCCCCCCCCCCCTCCCTAGTGTGACGTCACATGTTTTGCAATTTCACATCGAAAAATTATTAAATTAACAGCAATCAGTTTTATTTCCATTTAAATTAAGTACTTTTTTTATGAAATCNTGACGTCACATGTTTTGCAATTTCACATCGAAAAATTATTAAATTAACAGCAATCAGTTTTATTTCCATTTAAATTAAGTACTTTTTTTATGAAATCAACATTATATCAAATATTTGAAACAATTGAAATGTGATGTCACGAAACTTAGGACCCCTCCCACCCCTTGTCACACCATGTCACACTTTTTCAACCCCCTCCCCCCCTCTTTACGTGTGACGTACTTTATGGATGACCCCTTAACTGCGCACCTGGCGGCCGTGACGTCACATCGACGCTCTGATACGAACGGGGCTAACGTGGGGAGGTGTGCGGGTGAGTGCAAGGGAGAGTCGCATTACAACGAGGTGCACAGTTAACTCAACTGAGTTGTACAGCTAACACTGATCAACGTTTTTTCTTAGAGGCAAGTCGTTGTCGTTTGAAGCCGAATGAATGACGGCCACTGCCGGACAAAGGCCTCCCCCAAGAGTAAGAAGTAGCTGGACTAAGAGGCAAGTAATATGTAAGTATTGATTATTATTCTGTAGTAAAGCTTACTTGATGTAGTAGGAGCCAATATAACCTCCACGTGTTTCCTCAGGCCGATTATCCCACATATTATACCTGGATTTCGGGACGTTCAGGAGCCCAACCAAATCCTACCAGGCTAAGATGCGTGTCACCATTTTTATCGAGGTATTATTATATCGAGGCGCGTATTCTAGACTGCCTGTAGCTTTATCATGAGTTACATTAAATGTCATCGCTAGCGAGTGGGGCCAAAACGCCTATGATAAATATTAAATTTTGTCCATTGAAGTAATATTACTACGTAGTACGAAGTAATATTACTACAGGTGAGATGCAGGCCAAGAGCTTCCTCGTTGTGGATAAAAAAAAAAAAAAAAAAAAAAAAAAGTACATTATAACTCAATGATTTTGTCATACATTTCCATGTCATTTATTTTCGCGTCGCTAGGGAGCACATCTAATGTAAACTTATGATAAGCACACACATCGCCATTTACAATATTTAAAATTAGCATTATCATGTTAACTTAACGGCACGTCTTTGAACTCAAGGGAAGTCGTACTCGTATAATTTACAAATAGCTCCAAATTCGACTTGCGGACCGGGGTCAATGACACTCGGAGTGCTCTCATAGGAAATGCTTGTCTTCGGACGGAATCCGTAATGTTGCCCACGCCCAATGATTTCCCCGTTGCATTCACAAGGTTGGCTATGGGAGCTATATTTCAAAGCTTTAAATGGGAAAACGAATTCATTAACGTTTTATTGCCTGACTACATTATTACGAGTAAGTAGGTACCTATAAAGAGGAAAGATTTGATATAATTATATTATATTTAAGACCTTATATCTACACTGTGAAATGCAATAAAGAATTGAGTTTTGACTATTGATTGTTTGTATTGAATAAGCTCCGAATGTACTGGACCGATTTGCAAAATTATTTGATCATTAGAATCTTATATTATTTTTAATGAACACCGGGTCAGCTAGTTTAAGATTTTATGAACGTTAAAATGATGTTTCAATAAATGGGCTTACTAGGTTAGGTATCTGAATATTCGAAATATTGAGTTAGACAACGGCGATGTTTCATATGAAATAAAGTCTACGAACAAATTCAGAATGAGGTCAATTAATAAATAAACTGCTCGTAGCAACACCATTTTCTCATGGTCACATAACTTACAACGCACAAAGGAATCAAAACAGCATTAGCCTCAATCCTTCGAATGGGTTGTACCTATGTATTTTCCCATTTTCACATTCTAAGCGTTCAATTTATCTCTTTCCACATTCCCAATAACTATTTGAAATAGAGCTATTATTTTGCGTCTTGTATGGATGAAACAAAGCGCCTATGACATTTGTCAATTCTCCTAAAGAATGGGATGCCATTTGGGGAAATAAGGAAAGTGCGGTACGAAAATTATATGTCGATATTTGGCCGTGATTCGCCGTGAAAATTGAGTGGCTATAGGATATTTTGGGCTTTGCGAAAGCTTAAGCTTATGGTTCTGTTAAAAGGGATTGTACTCTCTATAGTAGTGTGTACATACTTATTACTTTTATATCAGTAATCTACTCAATACAATCACTAGCATGTGCTAGCATATTATGTACTTAGTAGGTATTTGTTACATATCAAACAATTAGAGTGTGTAAATAAAATAGTTACCATTTTCTTGGTAGGTAAGCCAGACAATGCAGATAAGAGCATGCTTTAAGTATCAAATTAACAGAAATGACGACCAAATGTAAACGTCGTTCCGAATAAGCGGAAGTTGGAGTTTCAGAACAATGCTGTCTATGCTAATTATTATTATTATTACATCAGCTAAAGAGCAAAAAAAGTTTATATATTATAGTAGTAGTAGTAGTAATACTCGTACGTGTTTTAAACTTTTTTATTTCAAAAACAATCTTGAGATGAAGGACAAACAAGGATCAATCGAGTTGAAATAGATAGAACTAAACGTTCAATCTTTTTATTCGAGCACTCAACACACCATATAATGCGGTAACACTAGGAGGGCCGCTGCAGGACAAACAAAAACACTCTCAGGACAGTACTTTACAGTAGGGTCACCAGCGGATAGAGAATTACTATTTTGTCGCATTATAATTGTCAACCAGTAGCATACTTTATTTATTAGTAATAATTGTTATTAGCAAACTATTGAGAATGAGGACTATCACACTAAAAAGTGTATGCCGAAAAGTATGTTAGTGTTTCTAAGAGAGTGAAAATGGTGATAAAAATATGACACAAGGAAATAAAAAATGACAAATTCACCCCAAAAAGTTACTGGAATTTTGGACTCTCTAATAATGAAGCTGTTTATTTATCAGAGTTGATTCTTTTTTTCGTTTCAGCCAAATAACGACCACTGCTGAACAAAGCGCTGCCCCACGGATTTTCACAACGACTGTATTAGAGTAATGTTAAATAGAAATAAATTGATCATTTAAATGGCAATGACAGATTTTGTATGGAAGGTGGCGTCTTTTTTTTTTCGCGCGGCCATCGACCAAACTTTGTTTTTTGATTACAAAATAGTGTAATAAACCAAACTTACTATGGCATGTAATATGTATAGGTACCTCTAAATTCAGTCTGAACTGAGTTACGAGCATTAGAAGTTTGATGATTTTACATAGGTACTAGATTTGCTTTTTGCGCGCAAGTTTTATAAGAAACTAGCTTTCCGCCCGCGGCTTCGCCCGCGTGGAATTTTGTCTGTCACAGAAAAACTTTATCGCGCGCGTCCCTGTTTCAAAAACCGGGATAAAAACTATCCTATGTTCTTTCCCGGGACTCAAACTATCTCTATGCCAAATTTCATCAAAATCGGTTGCGAGGTTTAAGCGGGAAAGCGTAACAGACAGACAGACAGACAGACAGACAGACAGACAGACAGACAGACAGACAGACAGAGTTACTTTCGCATTTATAATATTAGTTGGGACTAGTTGGGATAGTTGGGATTGCAACAAAATATTGCGCTATTTTTTTATTGCGCTGATTCTGCTCCATACTGATGTCTGGAGCCTTTAATGGATGGTATTGTTTGTTTACATATACAATGTCACTATTTTGTTGCAATTTCTTACAAAACTTGCGCGCAAAAAGCAAATCTAGTATGTAAAATCATCAAACTTCTAATGCTCGTAACTCAGTTCAGAATCAGTTTAGAGGTATAAGTAAATGTTATAGTAAGTTCGGTTTATTACACTATTTT